TGGCTTGCAGAGCAGGGCCAAACTGGATCATTCTTTGGAACTCGGGTGCTTAAATCCTGCCTAAGTCCTACTTAGGCACTTCTGAAGCTATACTGGATTGGGCTCTACATTTGTATTGGGAACACGACACCATCTATTTAAAAATTACTGACTAAAGAGTAAAAGGAAGAAAAAGAGCACAGGACTCTTATAGTTGTGCTGCTCTGACAGTGTGTGTGGGGGAGAGGCTTTTTAATTACAGCAGCTCCGAGAGCCATGCTAATTAAAGTGCCCAAAGCATCACGTGTATTAGCATCCCCATGCTGAAAAATGGTGGTGGGGTGCTTTGAACTAAAGCTCGTTGATTAATTAAGCCTGCTCTGACATGCTGTAATTACAGTGCGTAGGAACAGCCTCCCTGCACATGTATAGGCACTCACAGTTCTGTAACACTTTTCATTTAGAGGCACCTCAGCAGGAAGATGCCCTTCAGTTTATGCTATTGCATGTTACCATTACTGAAATGGAGCTATGAAGAGAGAACATAGCTCCACAAACCACCATAAGACTAGTCAGCAAGTCTTTGCCTACTGGAGGAGATATACATACACTTAAAACTCAAATAAAATTTATTTAGGAAAACAGTAAATTCCTAAGTTAACATATCAGCAACGATACCAGGACTTGTAACCTCTACTGTGGAATGACATAAAATATTAATGACCACAGATAGTTCAAACCTCTCTCTAGGTATGAAGCCATTATTATGACAATAAAGAGGAAGAGTTACACTTACAAGACTTACATCTACTGAGTTACACATACCACTTCCTGCGGCACCTGTATTTGCGTTAAGCATTTCCAAGGAAGCACTGCTCTGGCCTGGCACTTTTTAATCTTCCAAGCTGTATGAGATCACAGCCCAAGATGGGTAATGAGGAATATATCTGTAGTTCAGAGGAAACTGTGCTCCTTTTAACACAAGTGTGCAATTATTTTTTATCTCTGTGAAAAGATCCTGCATAATTCATAAATACACTTCATGAACTCCACTTACTTGAAAGCCTCAGAGACAAGGGTGGATTAATGAACAGACCCCCTGGGGCACCAGGGGCAGCATGGCCCAGGTAGGCATCCTGGCTGCAGGCATCTGGAGCAGGCAGCACACATTTCCTCCTCTTCAGCTGGGCCAGGGTCAAGGGCTAGGGGAAGGCATGGGGCTCCCTGCAGGTGGCGGTAGCTTCCCAGGGCCCTCTGCTGCCATGAGGCACCATGGGTGGTCCCACTTCTGCTCTCTCCTGCCATAGGTGAGTGGAACAGCCCCACTCTATTGGGGCCAGCAGAGGGGTGGGTGGGCAGCAGGGGGTGGTGCAGAGCCCATGCCCCCCAACCTGGCCTTGGCCCTGGCTCATCCTGCAGCACTGGTGGACTGCAGCCCCGGCGGTGTGACACCCGCTGGATGGAAGCACCAGGCTGGGCCAGGGCTGCTTTCACCTTAGTGGCATTTCACATCCCCTGGCTCAGCTTGGACATGCCGAAGAGGCCAGGCAGACCCAGCCGCAGCCCCCTGGCAGATGCAGAGGGAACCTGCCCTTGCCTGGTGAAGGGCCCCCAGTTTTCTGTTTGCCCAGGGCCCCAATAAATCTTAATCCATCACTGTTCAGAGGCAGTCCCTAAGTTTAAAGTGGGGAATTCTGTTTAATTGGAGAATCTTTCTAAGAGCAAGAACTTCAGGGCACCACTGAAAACAGTACTGCAGGACTTCTTTTGCCTGGTTTTCTAGACCAGACTTTCCTATAAGTACTTGAGGCCTGGTCCCAATGACTGTAGTAAGTGAAAGGTGCTCAGCACCTCTCAGAGTCAGACCCCTGACACACAGATCCCTTCCTTTCTTCCTGAACCAGGTTTGAAAGCACATACTTTTAGGACTTTTCTGTATCAGAAAAGGCCCAAATTTGATTCTCTTTCCCCAAATTACTTGATGTCAAACCATGAGATAAAAATACTGTGAGTCTTTAAAATGTACATGTTTACATATGATATCTTATGGCCAAAACAGATTAAGATTTGAAACTTAAATTGCAGTTAAGTTTCCATTTCTATGAATCATAGAGATCAGCTTATTTATAACAAACACTTCATTCTTATGTTTTAATTCTTTGAAGCTATTTTCTACTAAGGGTGGGGGGGAGGAGTATTTCTGCATAACCCAGACCACATCAGAATAAGTGGCTTACCTACTTTGCCTATTCTACTAAATTATTCCAAAAAAGCTTCTTGTAAATGAAAGCAGAAAGAACAATTAATAACACCTCCTGCCATATTTATGCAACAGTCTGAATTCCTTGTAAGCTGTAGATTGCAGTTCTGGGCTGCACTCTGGCTACTCCGGGCAGCTCCCCCAGCACCAACCAGCTCTGAGCATTGTGAACCAGATGCCAAGAGAATTCTCTTTGTGCAGGAATGCATTGGAGCTGCCATCAGGCGTTCTTCTGCCACCCTGCTCATCTCACAACTTGCATGAACATGACTGGGATACATCCACAATGAGCTCTTGGTATTGTTGACAGGTGGTGTATGTTAGAGTGGTCTTCAGGCTGCTCTAACCTACATCTAGGGAATATCCCAGTGCCTAGCAGTGTCCAGATTGGGAAAGTATAAAAGACACCCCTACACTTAACTTACACAGCTGTGCCAAGTGCTGATCAAGCTTTTAGTATTGCAATATCCACCAGAACATTACAGACAAGTATCAATAGAAATAGCAAACCATCCATTCTATACTCATCCCTCAAAAGAAATAGAGAACTATTCATTCTACACCATCAAGGGCAAAGACTAGCTCTCAGTATTGCTCAGCAGAGTTCAATAACTTAACACTGAGAAATTCACTGATCCCATTAGGAGCTCTAGGCATGTGATGAAATGACATGAGTTGAGCTCAACCACACAGCTCAGAGAATGCAATTCACACAAAGACAGCAATTAGTGTAGGCAATCTGTTTTAGCAATGGGAAATCTATGTAATGTATAATTGATTTTTATCGTATTTATATATTGTGGTCAGTAGTCCTGATGTGTTTTGATCAAATATAATTCAGGACACTGCTCTTACAGTGAGGTACTGGCTATTCTTATAAAGAGGTTTCTCAGCTTACAAGAGCAACCAGCATCAGTATAAATAGAAATGTTTCTAAAGACATCATCTGTAATGGCCATTAAAGGGAGGAAAATATCACTCCCAGCATTTTCCATTTACTTTGCTTGAAAAGTGAAAGGATTTCAGAATTTATAGGCTGTGCTTTGTACTTGCTATTCAAGTCGTCTGACTGCACAGACACTGCCCTACCCAAGCTAAAGGAGGAAAACAAGGAAAATCAGCCATTGTGAGGCAAGAATGTGCCCATTCAAAAATACTTTCCACTTATCTGTGCAAGTGGGTGCTGAAACACTTGTTTTCTTTTTCCTTAAATGCTGTGTTTCAGGTTTGCTTTGCTATTTTTCACATCTCTAGCTGCCTAACTCAGGCATTTTACATATCATATGTTAAGTCCCTGACCCAGAGATAGGATGAGCACCTGCTACTCCTACTAAGGTTCTCCACATCTCTAGATCTAGACCAAACTCCTTCGAAGTCTGGGAAACAAATGTAATTGAGAGAGTGATCCCTAGTTAAGAAGCACCCATTGGAACAGAAATGTGTTGAACTGATGAAGAATATCAGCGTATCACTATGTTAATGGGACAAGACCAGAGCAAACCAGATCATACTCTGGTGCATATTAGAACTAGGTTTACCCTGCCGCTGGCCTCCATTTTGTGCGCATAAATTATTCAGAGTAGAATTCTGATACTGTAATTTATATTTCTGAAGAGTCAAAATTCCTTGTCTGCAGACATGTGCAAGGATCTAGACATCTACCTGACCTGAATTTGGGGTGATAAGTTGTTAGCTTCAACTGTATGCACAATTTTGCACCAGAAAGAAGAGGCCTGATGAATTCCAGGGTTAAAGCTGGGCCCATAAAGCGCAGTGGTTATGCGAGTGAATCAAAAACATTTCTACAGACTTTCAAATCAGTATTTCTCAGAGATTTTTTTCTTTTTCAGAGTGCCATAGTCAATCTAACCACAGATCAAAAATGAAAGGAAAAAGGTAAGACAGTTTAGGGATTCAGGGCAGTCATGTAGGCCAGCATGCTTTCTGCATATCATGGAGAATTACACAGACTTCACAGGAAATTTCTGTAAAGTGCTGTAAATGTGGAAAGTATTCTGTTAATGGCAAGTTTTATCTCCTATTTTAGGTTTGAAATTCATTTTTAGATTAATATGCATTAATTATGCAATTACACATTGAATACAGAGCAGATGAAGAACTATTTGAATTAATAAAACTTTGTAAAGCTGATATTACATAGCAACTAAATATGCCCCTATGAATAGTGTCACTAACACATATACACATATTGTCACTAACACATATACACACACTAACACACAATATAACACATAGTCTCATATCTGCTAACTTTATACACTTTAAGGGGGACTTGCTATGTAGTTATTATCTATGCACTTTGTGGATGAAACCTGATTTGTAAATAAACCCATTCCCTTCACCTAAAACAATAATGTGAACCTGCTTGGGATTTCTACATACAAACAATCTCAAAGAAATACCTTTGCACACCAGAAGCAGAGCAGAAATAAGGGCCAGAGCCTGCAATTAATAATGAGAATTGGGAAAGAGCCTCAGATGTGACTAGTCATTTTGCCTCCTCAAATTCAAGATGCAGATGTTCGGCCCTGAGGAAGCCCTAGGTGTATACCCGAAACAGGAGACATCCAATTTACTTGTGAATATCTTGGCCATGGAGCCTCCTACCACATACCCACCGACTACAGAGATTTCACCGGGACTGCTTCCAATAGTAATCATGACACTTGGTATTGGCAGGATTGGGCTTTAAATTTGTAGGTCTAGAATACTTACAAAATGAGCAGTCTGGCCAGCAAAGTTAGATTTTGCAAAACATTTTATTGTCAAAATGCAGGATTTTAGAGTCTTGGGGAAGAGGGGGAAGCAAGTTAAACTGAAATGCCTTATAGTTGGCAGTTTAAAAAAATGCTTCCAGTTACAGCTGAGACCTTCAACTTTGCCTGCAAATGAAACACTTTAAATAACAATCAGTTACACAACCTGCTTACAAGCAGCAGCTTATCTCACAAGACCTCCAGTAACAAATTTTCTTTGTGGCAACAGCATATCCAGCTGATTTTTACAGTGTTGACCGGCTTTGTTTATTCTGGCTGTCAATCCTTCTTTTAAGTGCTTCATCTGGCACAAGATCTGATCTTTTTACATCAGAATGGACACAGCCAATCTCAGGGCATCTGTTAAAAAGAGGAGAAAGACTCTAATAAAATACATTTGTAATATGAAATTTGCTGTCTCCCTCCCAACTTCTCCACCCCTCCAAATTCACTTTCTATCAGATATTTGCTGCATCTTTTTCTTCATAGAAAAAAAAATCTCTGTTGGAAAAAAAATCTAATTAAACAGGTGGGAATGGATGGCTCAAATGAGTGTGATGAAATATTCAACCTTTCAGCTGTAGGTCACTGACTTGATTCTGGCATGAGTTACCTGTGGAAGTGAAACACAGGAATATTGTTGACTGCATTCCTTGTATTTTATTTTATATCTGGAAGTCATGTGGTTTCTACAGGGAAAGATATTTAGGGATTCAAGGTCTTTCTTCATGGGTGGTGGAACACAACATGTACAGCAGATACCCATAGTTAAAACATGAGAGCTCTCACTTTCCTTGGAGCTCTGTTTTTTTAGGAAGTGTGACAGGGAACTGGAAGTCAGCACTTGGAGCTTCACCCATTTGCCTTGGGCAAATCACCAAATCACTTCATGCTTCAGTCCTCCAATCAATGAAATGATTAGAATAGTACCTTGCCTGCTAAAAGCTTTGTGAGGATTAATTAATTATCATCAAGTGCCTTGAGAGCTTCCTATAAACATCTTTTGTAAACAGGAGGTACTAGCAGAGCCTCCACAGCAGTGGAAGGCATAGGGACAGGTGTCAGGGATGCCATGCACTCTAAGGTGAAGTCAAATTGATCATGGCAGAAGAGCCTGTCTGTGGGCATATTAAGGGGACTGTGGGCAAGGCAGGTGACTGGACGATGCACAGCCTGTGAAGTGCATCAATCAGATCCAGAGGCCTCAGATTGTAAGTAAAAAAAACATGTGCATGCCATAGCCAGTACTACAACCCCTTGCCTAATTATGTCTGTAGCTCTAGGATGAGGATGGAAGAGGATTCAGTCTCCCATTCCTTTCTCTCTCTCAGCTGTTTGCTGCTCCCCTGACACAGACCACTACTTTGGGTTTTGACTTGGAGTCCAGGAGTTTGCCCTTAAACCACAGTAAAGATACTGTTTTTCCCCTGAATATGGCTGTCAAGAATGCAAATGGAAATGTCCCCACTGGAGATGGGGGCCTTAGGGATGAGATGCAATAGGATCCCCAGACTGTGGCTTTTCAAAAAATGACTCTATTTGTCAGAAAAATGTTGAAATTACATAACAACTCGGCTCACTTAAACCTACATATACATGCAGAACCAAGAGTTGAGGGTAGATTGCCCACAAAACTTTCTAAATTGAATTAGAGCAAAACCCAGTTATTACTCATCTATACTTCTGATGTTCTATATGATTACGTCAGAAAAAAAAATAAAGAACCATAAAAGCATATACTAACATTGCAAAGTAACTACACTCAGAACTACCAGAACTGAGGTTGCACATACCTTCTTAATTATGGCATTTTCTAACTTCTTGATTCCCCTCAGTGATAATGTGCTTTCAAGGTGCAATTTTTGTGTTTAAATTTCTTGGTCTCTCTAGATGGGAAATAGAAGACCCTCATCCCCAAACCAGCTTCTGTCTCTTCCATTCTGTTATTATACCCAGTAGCTCCTCCTCTTAGGTGCAGGAATCTTGCTCAGTCCTTGCGTCCTTGGGAAAGAGCACACTGCCATTCTGTGGGCATAGTGTGCAAGCAGGACAACATGCTTTTTGGAGAATTGTGTTGCTGTTCTCTGCCCTAAAGGTGTATGCAAACTGCAGTCTTCCTGAAGCACAAAGCTTGGCCAAGTTTGGGTGAATGTTCACAGGTCAACAAAAGGGCCATCCCTGATGGCAGTTACAAATGGGGTGACCTCTTGTAAGTCCCCACTCAAAAGTATGAGAAGATCTAGTGTCTTCAATGGAAAGACATTTTTAAGAGATGTTCTGATTAAAGTTAAAAACAAAACAAAACATCAGCCTAAGTTAGAAACCTGGCAAGGAAAATTTTGAGTATATCAGTAAAATTTTGGTAAAAGTTTTAAGTGTCTAGAGAGAGGGCCCTATGATGGAAAGTGACAGGTGATTTTAACTCCAGATGATGCTACCAACCCTGCCTGTAGTAAAAAAGAGTTACTGCAGCTGGTAAGTCCAGTATAACTCATTCTTCTTTTTGATCATTTTTCCTTTTCCTTAACAGTTTATGATTTTCCATATTATTTCCTTTCTCTTATTATCCTGGGAAACAGAAATCATCAATAGGGATTACACTGCAATCTTTTTTCCTCATGTTTGTAAAGGAGCGAGTTTATTTATTTTTTTTAACAATGACTCTCAGAGTTTCAAAACCACATGATACAGCATAACCTCGTAAATCCAGCATGCCCGGGACCACGCCCCTGCTGGAAATTAGAAAATTCTGGTTTTTTAAAACTGGAGTGGTGGCCGGTCATGCATCACAGAGGAGGGAGGCATGTAACAGTGACTGGTCCCCGAGTGGCAGCTGCACATAGAGTGGGGTGGTGGATGGTCACATGCACGCTTCCCCCTCTGCATCTGGAGGAGCGGGAGGGGGAGGGGAAGGAGAGCTTAAAAAGTGCCAGATTTTTGAAAATTCTGGATTTTTGATATTCAGATTTATGAGGTTATACTGTAGTAAAACATGAACTAAACTTTCAGAAGTGAATGCTTCTCTCTGTTGTTGATGGCTTTTTTAGATCTTCATTATTCCACTGTGCAGGGACAGTGAATGGTTGTTACTTCCTCACATGCTTCCTGAACATTTCCTTAGATATTGCTTTCCTTTTAAAAAGTTATGCTTCATGTGTACTGTACTAATGAGGAGACTGATTTGAGGCAAACTAAGTAATACTTCCTTCAGCCCTGCCAACATAAATGTTTCCTAGAAGTGAAGTAAGATTCTACTAACACAACAAGGCAAGTAATTTTCCACCCATTCTTGCTAGCTTACCGTGCTTTTTTCTTTTTCTGTTGTCGTCTTTGGATAATTTTTAATATGGCTTCTTCTTCATAAGCATGGCCACAGACTTTATTTCGAACTGGCCTCTTCATTTCCATCTGCAATCAATAAGACTATTTCACTGACCAGATTTTGATCTTGAATACAGTCTCAGAATTACTATGGGACATGGACTAATTCAGTTAGTTTCGCTAGTTCAGTTTCACTAGTTTCACTGTAAAGAATCAGATCATATTTATAACCCTTCTTTCTTTCTAGCCAATTTAACTTATGCCTTTATGATCTAGTTGTATTGTTACAATCATCCATGACTCTCTGTATTAGAAAGAGATCAGCACTGTACTATTTCTAAGTGGAAAAAGTGCTCTCCTCTGGCAACATATGATTTTACAGGATAAACTGCATTACAGTGGAGAGGTTTTTTTTCCAGGCAAAGTAGCTCTGATACAACAAGACATATAAAATGATGTTGCCTGGTTTCTAGAAATCCATATTCATTTACAACAAATAAGTATGTTTTATATGCAGGAATAAAAGATGACAGTGGCTAGGAAAAACGACTAAAAAAGTAATGAGAAAGTCTTTTACATGGTAGTGATGGCATACCTGTGTGATAGGACAAAGAAATTTCGTCTGACTTTGAGTCACTGTAATATCTTCATCAATTTGTTCAATGGCCTCATCAGCATCTGTCTGAAGACCAACTACAATGAAGAACAACAATACAATTATTGATTTAATTCAACATCTAAAGAAAGTCACAGATTTTGTTTAGTTTTTTAATCAGCATTTGCCAAACATGGTCTCATAGTGGTCTTTGAGATGACAAATTTCTCTTGCACTGTTGCTTGGATGGGAAACTACTGCAAAAATTCTGCTTTCTGTGGGCAAATGTGGATTTTTAAATGGTGACTCCTATAAACATAATTAATATACAGTACTAAGCAAGGGAGAATTGAAAGTTTATTTCAGCAAGTCTACGTGGTAAAGGAATTTGTTACTTCTGTTAAAACCTCAGCGGAAACTTCTACATGTGCTATTATTTCAAAGTTGGCTTACTGTACTGTAAAAATACTGCACAGTAAGGCTACAGGGGAACATGTATACACGTGCTCCCTCTTGGAAGAAGATTTGCTTCCAATTGCAGCAGCCTAGTACAGGGCTGCTCCATCCCTACTCTGCCTCCCTGCAGCAGTAGGGGGAGCTCCAGGCTCCCCCCCACGCCCCTGCTAGCCTGGGGGCTGAGAGAGCTCAGCTGTCTCCTGGGACCTGATGTGCACAGGGCCACAAGAGAACTGCTCTCACAGCGGGCAGAGTTCTCCCGGCCCTGTGCACATCTGGGCACAGCTGCTAGCAAGCCCCCTGCTGGGCAGGATTCCCAGCCCCTGCTTGCTCCCTAGGGAACTGGCTATTCGGAGGGACAAGCAAGGGTTGGATTTCCAGTCCCTACTCACTCCCCAGAGGAGAGGAGGCATGGGACAGAGAGCTCCCCAGTCCTGGCCCTGATCAGCTCCCAGCTCCTGGGGGGAGCCAGGGAGTTAACCAGCACCAGGATTGTGGACGGACAGCTCCCTGTCCTGTGTGGCCTCCTGCTGCCTAGGCTGATCAGGAGAAAATTTGCTCCTGGCCAGTGTCTACACGTGTTTTACTGCACAGTATGTATGTGTAGGTAGTAGCTTACTCCACAGTAGATTAATTTACTGCACAGTAAATGTGAGCACTTGTAGATGGTGATGCTTTACTGCACAGACTAATCTACTGTGCAGTAAAGCGCCTCATGTAGACACACCCAGCACGTCCTAAAACAAGGAGACAATGTATATTCTCACCTCAAAGTAAATTCAGAGCAACATCAATCATTTTAATGGGTTTTCCCAGCTGTAATTTATGAGAGAATGACAGGTATGGCTGTTCAGTAGTCATTCCCTCCTACATTAAAAAAAAGTCTGTTCAATTTTATTCAACTCTGTTCACACATCTTAGCAAAAAATAAAAAGCCCATTTTCTTAAAGCAACATGCATCTTCACAATTAATATGAACAAGTCCCAGATGAACTTTCAAATAGGCTGACACATCATTTTTCTATGTATAAATAGGTTAAAAATTATTGACCCCCATACATGGTGATTATGCAAAAATCCCACTCCTGGTATTAGCAGTACTGTAGCTGCTCCAACCCTGTTTACTGTTCTGTGCCCCCATTTCCCCACTACTCAGCCAAGTGGGACCTTTAGAGATCTATGGCACTTTTACATGTGCTCCCGACATGGCACTGGGAACTTTTAATTGGTGACCCATACCAATTAAAAGCGCCCAGTGCACACGTTCCCAATGCAGCGTTAGCAGCACAGCGCACCTCCATGCTGAGAAAATGGTGGTGGTGTGCTTTGAACTACAGCACATTAAACATGTTTTAGTTCAAAGTGCACTGCTCCCATTTTCTCAGTGTGGAGGCGTGCTGTGCCACTCACACATGTGACATGCAAGGCTGCCACAGTGCGTCAATTAATGTGCTCCAGCAGTCTCAATTGATCAAGTCTGCTCCAACGTGCTAGATTTCCAGCACGCCAGAGCAGACTCCTCGCACGATGTTCCTTAGCTCCTGGCATGCATCTCTAACGTCACTAAAGAACAGTTATATTGGCATGGCATTCAACTGTTTTCAATTTACAGGCACTGGATCCAGTAAATCCCAATCTCAGCTCTACCTTCCAATGCAAAACTTCTTGCTCCTATATATTTTTCACTCGTGCATCTTTCCTCCTCCTCTTTCTCCCTGCCCTAAATCACTCACTCTCCCTTCCAACTGGCAACTCACAAAGAGCTTCCAAAGTGGCTGTAGGATGATTCTGATATAAAGACTTATTTAGGCTAGCCTCCGAGATACTCTTTATTCTGGCAAGCATCTTTGTTATGGAGGCTCCACTTGCCCAAATGCTAGAGATGTAGTAAATAAAAGTCAGAGAGAATTATCAGCAAAACAAACTGGTAAGTTTTACTTGCAAGAATATTTACAAACACCTTTCCGATATTTTGGCACAGGCAAATACTAAAGGTAAAGACTGAGAGGGATCCACCTAATGATCTGTAAATACAGAACTGGGTAGCACAGAGAAAGCAGGGACCTATAATAGTTTACTATTTCAAAGCTTTTCTTCATATGCAACTTTTGGAAATTAACACACAAAATTAAGCACAGAATCAGCATTTTGTATTTTGCGGAAAGCACAACAAACTGTCTTGTGAAAGCTGGAGGGCAAGAATCTTTTTAAAAAAAAGATCAATTTTCTCAATATGACGCAACAGGTAAATTCTGATTTAGGAATCAAATAAAACAGCAAGCTTCAGCAATATGAAAAACTTCAATAACCAAAAATGCCAAATAGAATCCTTTATCTAAGTACAGCATTGATTCTTTTCCTTCAAGCTATGCCAGCGAAGCACAATAGGTACAGATTTTCCCATGAAGCCAAAGTTTCTGCAAATGTTGGCACAATAAAGCTTTGATCTTTCCTGCAGAAAACATCTGGAAGGTTACACTTTTGTAAGCTGCATTTTGTTCCAGTTCAAGAACCTGGCATACATTAGACGTTCCAGCACATGATGTCTATAGCAATCAAATCAGAATGCCGCAGGGCTGCAGATGAGCTGCAGGATAAATAATTGCTAATTGCAGAAAATCTTTTCATTGCTGATGATGTTTGGATACCAAAGGAGCTGGAAAAGGCTCTGAAGCTTAGATTATGTATTGCATAGTTTTATGAAAATAGTCCTCATAAAACTTCAAACAAAAGACTTTGGTCAATAATTTCAAATCCAGGTGTCTACGGTTAGGCATTTAGGCTTAAATTGTAAAGGCACCAAACGATGCAATTCACCAAGAAACAGAGACATCTTAAACAAGACTTCTGGGGCATTAAGATGCTTATGTTTGAAATACTGATTCACTAAAAACGCACTTAGTCTCCTTTGTCAAATGAGACCTCCTAGGTTCCCAAGTTTCTGCCAGAAAACCTCTTTAGCTGTCTAACAATCAGCTACTGTTTATAGCCAGAGGTGCCACTGTCTTGAAAAAGCCAACTCTTTAGATGCTTGCGGCCATTTAGAATTCCATAGACTGCCATTCACTGAAAAGAGCAATCTATCCACCTGCATATCAAAGGAGATCTTACACCTGATCCTGGGGGTTGGACTTGTTCAGGTCCTTTCCGACCCTAGAAACTATGAAACCAGGAGTGGGCGATTATTTGGTTGGAGTGTCACTTAATGAGTTCTGGGGACCTGTTGAAGAGCACATCCATCTCCCTCCCCTGCCCTCTCTCTTTCGCTCTCTCCCCCTCCCTCCAAAACCTGGCCGGAGCTATAGTTTTCCAGGAGCCCTGAAGCGCAGCTGTGGACTCAGACGGAGCTTTCCACTGTGGTGGGCAGGTGGGCAGCAGCGCCAACTGTGGGAGCAGCAGCAGGGTTTGGAGCCCCAACGCAGAACCTGCCAGCCGTGTCACAGCAGAAGCTCCTGCCTGGGTCCAGAGCTGATGCTGCCAGGACGTACCAGGTTGGGGATAGGGGTAGGAGCTTCTACTGCACTGGCAGTGTGGTGGAACTGCCATCGGGGCTCCTGAATATGCTGCCAGTGGCATCCACAGCTGATGCCACCAGCTATCTGCTGCAGCTGAAGCCCACACCCAGGTCCACAACTGAAGCTGCTGCATCAAGGCTCATGCTGCTAGTTGGAAGCAGTCCCCCTCCCACCCCCGGCACCATGCAGCGCCAGAGCCAGAAGCTGCCAGTGGGCGAGATCCAACGAGTTGGTGGCCATCCACCCACAGGCCAGACTGAATCTTTTGGAGAGTCAGATCTGGCCCACAGGCTGGATTTTGCCCACCTCTTTCTTAGATGCCTAAATCTAAGTAGGATTACAGGGAATGAATGGCAGCCCCACCCTAGCATCTAACTCAGAGCTGAAAGAGGGCAATGAAGTACTGGAGAGAGGGACTGCAGACAAACCCATCTCTTTAGTATTTCCTATTGGCTGGCACAGGTATCCCCCACTCAAGATGCTAAGTACTGCAAATCCCCTTTTCAGCCATGTCACTGTTTCAATTTAAAGTACAGGAGCTTAGGTACCTAACGTGTAGAATCATAGAAAAATTGGTCTGGAATGGATCTCGGGAGATCTCCTACTCCACCCCCTGCTCTGTCTGATTCGTTCCAGTCAAAGCTCTGTCGAACCTGGTCTTAAAAACTTCCAGGGATAGAGACTCCATACCCTCTCTACATAATCTTACAAATTCACAAACTCAGGCCTGTGAAGTTCATTCCCAGAGGTGGGCACCTAAATATAGGCTGCCAGAAAGTTCAGAGCTATCACCTCTAATTCCTTTGTGTGACTGTCACCTTGGACCCTTCAGCTCCCACTGACTTCAATGAGATTTAGAAGAGCTCACCACTTATGAAAAACAGGCTGCTCCTTGTCTAAATATGAATAATAAATTTTGGGGCCTAAGTTTAGGTACCCAAGGCATTTTTACATGTGCTCCAGGGATTGGGGGGGGGTGCGCTCTAATTAAAACACCTGCAGTGACTCGTGTATCAGTGACCCCACACTTCAAAATGGTAGCAGGGGTGCTTTAACTAAAGTTCGTGCAACAAGCTTTAATATAAGTACCCCCGCCACCACAGTGAAGCATGGGAACACTGATGCAT